TCAGCAACTGTACTGTTGTAATGTGCAAAAGTAGTACACGGACAGAGTCATCACCCTCTTTACTTGGATAAATCAGTGCATGCTTCATCTTTAAAATTCCCTTTAGTAACTTGACGTCACCTGTAAGCCTGTGCTCTCTACCAGATGTCAGCACCCCTTGTTAATGGATGCTCTCCTCCCCTGGAATGGCAGCCTTGGTTGGTGGGGCTGGAGGCACAAGTGAAGAACGAGCTATGAAGTGCAGCTTAATAACTTCACCTATGAGCTCTCTGCATCTGAGTGACATTTCCTTTGCCTTTTACTTGGCGGTGGTCAATAAAAATGCCACAAAGCATGTTCAGAATATCAGCTGTGCTTTTCTGTTTGCAAGGGAAACATTGACATCTTGCACTAAGAGATTTTTTTTCAGATACAGCAGCTTACTGTACCTTTGCTTAAAAACATATGAGGAATTCAGGGATCTATTCAAAGGTTTTTGCTTCCTCATGTGCCTGGGTTGAGGACTTATGTGCCAGTGTTGAATAAGACTAAAATGGAAAAAGAATATGCCATTGGAATGATAAATACTTGATCTGTGTTTACTCAGGCAGTAGATTCTTGTGACATCCACATGATGACAAGTTTTGCCCAATAACCCATGCAGAAAGCAGATTTTTCCAAGGTACTCTCTTCACTATGTTGCAAAACAATTAATCTCCTTTAGGCTGCTTCTGCTGCGTTCTCCAAGAGAAATCCTACCAAAATTCTGCTAGTGTTTGTAGTTGGAGAAGGTCAGAGCACCTTAGCAAACCAGGTCCTGCTGCAAAACTCCATTTATTTCTGGGGAGACGTCCCTTTTAAGCATTGGTGTGTTCAGTGGTTGAGAGTGGTTCTTCAGTATTACTGGATAGTTTGCAGAGAAGCTTTCAACTAACAGATCTTTTTCCTATTTTATAACGAGAGGGAGCTATAGTATTCGACAGCAAGGACACTGCCAATTTGAAGACCAGACTGATTCACCACTGAATATGTGCTGCTGAATGTGCAGCACTTCATTTAAATTTTGCTTTCCATGTTACAAATGGACTGCTGTGCATGCTCACTGCACACGTGTACATCTCTCTCTCTTTGCTAAACTGTACTCATCAACATTTTTAATAATATGCATGGCAAGCCTTCCTGACAAATGTGATAGACTGTAAAGAATCTGGCAGAAATCAATAAATATCAAGCAATGAAGAATTTAAATAGTAAAATGATGACAGCTCATTCAGGTTAAAAATCAATAGTACAGTGTTGAATGTGGTCTTGGATACCGCAGTCAGATCATGCTAGGCAGGTGTTCTCCCTTCGCTGAGACCTCTGAGACACCTTTAGTGCAGCAGGGAGAAGGGAGATGCCAGCATGCACTTGGAGAAGCCTGAGTGCTGTGTTACTAGCTGGGGTGGACCCTGCAGTTCTGATAAATGTCACCGAGATAAATGTTTTTCAAAGTTTTCATTTATTTTGATTGCTGTGACAATATATATGTATGTATTCCATCAAAATTGGGTTGCAAACTTAGCAAGGACAGTATTTTCTGAGGTAGGAGTTCTGTCTGCTCCTTGAAGAACGCGCAGGAGGTACTAGCAGTGTAGCACACGGAGGTACCTTCTGTGCATTGCTCAGCAATGCTCCAGCCTCCCACCCCCAGCTAGCAATTAGACTCCAGGTCTTTTATGCTGACTTTGATAGGCCAGACTTGTTTTTTCTTTTACTGCAAAATGCATTTAAGATGTACAGGGGAGATTTGAGATAGGATTAGGTGACTAATAGATACTAACTTCTGGAATTTAATTTTTTCCTATTTTGGGGGTTAGTTTGTTTTTTAAATGTGTGGAATATTGCAGAAAATCCATAAATTTCCCTCTCTGTTGTCAATATTACAGCTATCAACCAGCAGAGGAAAGCCATTCTGCATTCTCCCTCTTCTTTCAGTTTTTAAACTTAACTTTATCAAACTGAGGAGCCCCAGCCCCTTGGTGTCCCTTGTGCCTGTGTAGTTTAGTAATTAGTATTCTTAAAGTTCATCCTGTCCAGGATCCCATTCAACCATGCTCTATTCCGGAATACTCTCTCCAGTGTAGTGTAAACTGTAAGCCAGTGTGGAACAGTAAGTACACTGCTGGAATTCAGCTGTTCTTATGAGCAGATTAAACCTGCTGAAAGATGGACAGCATGAGTGAATGATGTCAAATTTTTCTGAAGTCTCTAATCTTTGAGGTTCCTTAAACAAACAAACCCCCCCCCCCCCCCCCCCCCCCCTCAAATCCCAGATATACTGCTTTTTAATTTTTTTTACTGTCAGGCTTTCATAAGTATAATATAACAATAATATGTCCTCAAAGATCTATTAGAATTGTTGTGAAGAGCTCTTATTTTGGATATTTAGTGCTTTAGTACATCCATAACTGTTAGGATGTGCCACAATGTTTTTAAAAATAATACACAATGTAAGTGTGAGCTAACTTGTTTTCAGAAAGAAACCGATTTTCCTTAGTGTGTAGATTTCATGTTAGATTTAAAAATAAACTTCTTTGTTTTCTTTGGCTTTGAGCCTACTTATAACTGTAAGTGCATTGATTTAATATGACAGCTAACCTGTCTATCGTGATAGCACTCAAAAAAATTCCTGCTCTATTTTACAGTTGCTTAGGAAGACAGCTCTTCCCTGGAGTACTTAAGCAGCACAGGGTTATCTGGGGACAGCTGTAACTTACTTAAATTTTCCCTGTACAAATGAAAGCCCATTCACTACTACTGATCATTTTCTGGATCTGTAGGACTTGGTTACTTAATTTGCTTGTAAGTTTTGATTCTGTAAGCTTCTTTTGTTAGCTCAAAAGACAATAAAAGTAGCCCTTTAATTTTTTTTTTTTCCTGACTCTTAGAGAATTGGAGGAAGTAAAAGATGGAACTGAAAGAAGAGTTAATTTCCTGTGCATGCATTTTTGAGTTTTTGGTAACCACCCTGATTAGCTTCTCTCACCAGTTTCACTAGAAAAAAGTGATTAAAAAAAAAAAATAGAGGAAGATTTTGTCAGGATTTCCCTGTTTGATTCATGAAGAGAGGGGAATACGGGAAATAAAAAATCAGGAAATATAAATGCCCATTCATTTTGCCTGTCTCATAAATATAGTAACATGAAAATCTGTTACACTGAGATCAGGGGTGGTTTGTTGTTCAGGGTCTGTTGTTTCATTTCAGGGTTTGTTGTTCCATTTCATTTTCATGGAATAGAAATTCATTCTAGTGTCAGCCTTTTTGGAAGAACAATATCCAGAAAAACCCTCCTCAAAAATCCCAACAAACCAACCCTCTCCCCCCTGCCCCAACTCCAAAACCAAAAGAAAGATATATAAACATTTTTGAGTGTTATTCCATATTTAGCTGACCAAGCCAAGAACTGTATCTGGGGCAAGTTGCTTCCAATTAATCATTATGTAACTGGATATAGGTTCATAACCAAAAAAACCCCAAAACCTCTTACATTATTAGGAAGCAACGCCAGAATTTGTCTAAGATCATTTGCAGTAACTGTCCTTGTGAGCTAGTTTAGCTGTGATGTGGTTTTATGTTGTGTCTAATCTGGTGTAACCGTGTTGCCGCTTCAAGGGTAGTCACAGATTCCTCCCTTACACCTGCGCATTTCTGATGATTCTTGCATCAAATCGAAGGATCATAAGACCATGGCTCAGTGAGGTCAGTCATCTGATCCCAGAGGAAGTTGTTGTGCAAGGAAAAAATCATTTGGGGTGGGGGAGTGGGGTGGTGTGGAAGACTTGGCTTGGTCATCTTTCTCATCTTGCAAACATGCACTCTCTAGATCTGTTGCATGCTTTTTGGAGAATGGTCAGAAGGTTTTTTTTCTCAACAGCAGCCTTCACTTGCATCAGTTAGACCGAGTCTTTAACTCATGGCAATATACAAACTGGCCATTTGGTTCAGTTTTACATGTTGGATAGGACTGACACGCAAGTGTAGAGCTTCTTATAGCTTGAATGCATTGGGGTGTTCTAATGTAAATGGAAATCCCCAGTAGTTGTCCACTGGCCACTAATCCTGAGTGCTGATAATGTTCAGTACAATTTCAGGGGAGGGAGCGTTACAGAAGATGTAAGCTAGTATAGAAAAGAAGGAGTGTGATCTGCTAGAATACAGACCGTACTCATTTCCCTCTCTTTTTTTTTCTTTTTTTTTTTTTTTTTTAAAAAAAAAAACCCAACCCACCACATTCTAGCCAATTCAAGTACCTTCCTTTTCAAATTATGATCACCCAGAATAGAGTTAAGGTCACTGTAAGGCTGCTAGCATAAAATAGTCAATAGGAAATGAAATGGTACATAGCCATGAAACAGCAAAAATCTGTCAGAGATAATGTAGAGGGTTTTGATAATGGTGTTTGAGGAAGGAAACTTCCTAATAAAATGAGCTGGGTTGCACTTTTGATTACAATTTGTGTTGTTCTTTGTTTGTCGGTGAGGTGGTATGCAACTGAGGGCAGAAATCAAGATATTTAAACATTATTTTACTGATTTCCTTATTGGCTTGATGTTTTTAATGTGTTAAATTCATGTTTATAATGTGTCCACATAGGGAAATTGACTAAAGCAGCTCATGTGGAGTTTAGATTAAGAGCACGTAGAATAAGATTTTTTATATACTTTTTTTTTTTTTTAATGAAGTCTCTCCTGATTTAAAAGCTTATTCTTTAATATTCTGGTTAATTTACTTAAGGGTTGACTTAGGAAAATGTCTCGTGCTTGGTGTCTTTCCCTTTCAAAGTACACAAATGCTAATCTAAAAAACCTAAAGAATTCGATAGTTATTTTGCATTTTGTTGTATTTTTATATATTAGTGAGCTCTGAGTTGAATATTTTTTCTATCCTTTCTGCTCTCTGATCAATCAGGAATTTGTTTTTAACATAGAGAATTCTGTGAGGAAGCATATGAGATGTGTTTCCCTGTGCTCTTTTCTAGTGAAATGACGAAAACAGTGGAGATTTCTGGGGAAGGTGGACCCTTGGGAATACATGTAGTGCCCTTTTTTTCATCTTTGAGTGGAAGGTAAGATATTTCCTGCTTTGCCCAAGAAGTATCTTAATGAAAGGATTTCAGTTGTGGTTCTCTTACAATACCTATTATTTAACCATAGGGAAAAGAAACGCTTAAAAGAAAATTGGTCTATGACACTGTTTTCCGTTACCAAAATATTTACTAGTCTAAGTTACCTATGAGACAATACCAACCCTTTTGTTCATATATGTCCTTTTAATTACCTCTGTTTTTATCCTCTGAATGGTGAACTAGATTTTCTGTAGAATAATATAATACTGAAGGTATAGGGTCTAGGGGATTCTTTTTTTTGTGGTTTTGGGCTGGTTTTGTGGTGGTTGTTGTTGTTGCGGGGAGAGTGTGCGGTGTGTGTTTGGGTTTATTGTTTTGGTTTGGTTCTTGGTTTGGGTTTTTTTTCCCCGTTGGGTTTCTCTGCATAGAGACCCTTCCTTAGTGACATATCAGACAAGAAAAGTCAAAAAAATTGCTTGCCTGGTCATGCCTCATATTTTTCAAGCCACCTTTCAGATTTGGTTGTATAGCATTTATAAAATGTGCACTATACCATGAACTTTTCTTTGTCACAATACAATTACTTTAATTATAAATGATTTAACATAGTCTCTTGAGATCACAAAAGCCTATTATACCAGTGTGCTCATATTGATGTACTGTAGTTAAGACTGTGTCAGCATTTTCATTATAACTGTTTTCCAAGCTATGTAACTCAGATGTAAAAAAATTTTTTTTAAAAATTCTAGGCTGATATTTGACATACAGAGGCTTAGCCAGAGAGTTAATTTGACACTGGCAGCCCTGAATAAGAGATGAGAAATCGCCAGTACCATAAGTGACACTACAGTAAAATGTCTGCCTGTAACACAAAGACAATTACTGCAAAAGTAAATATTGTCTAATTCTTAAGTGTTTCTTGTCATCTTTCATGTAGGGCAGAGAATGTGAAGGGTTAAATTGCCTTGTAAAGGTCTGTGTGTGGAAGTGTTTTCTTGGCAAGATCTGAGTTTGTAAGTGGGCCCAAATTCATCCAGACAGTTTTATTTGCCAAATGGGGAAATAGCTGTCCACCTGCTGCCTGGAGAAATGTTGCCACTGTCTCAAGAAGAAAGCTGGTCTTCGATGGGAACTGCAGGAGGTTTGAATTGTGTCCTTGGCTTTGCAGGCTGTCTGTTTGTCTTGAGAAAGACGCTTGTGTTTGCTACCCCCTCATGAAATGCGGACAGTAGTTCTTTGTTATAGGCATGCCATAAATGTTGTGGTGTGTACACTGTATTTCCGGATCATTAGGTAAAAAATGCAATGAAATTGCAAGCTATTAAAATCAGTAATTATTGTGACTGTAATACAGTTCTGTGCTGAAGTATCACTGTTGGGTGCAGCTTTTAAAGACCTCCATGAAGAAATAGTTCCTTCGTCTACACAGAATACATGTTTTTATGTCCTTATTTACAAATGCTTTTGGGGATCCCTTGGAGCAAAGGGGCTTTTGACAGATGGACTACTTGTTTAGACAGTTGTCTTGAAATTTTAATGACCCTTGGCAGAACTATACTGTTATCTTCGTAAAAGCACTAGAATGACTCAAATCATTTGCCCCTCTTATTTAATCAAGCTTGAGACTACTGTATACATTTTAACTTACCATAACATGAGAAGGTACAGAAGAGCGTCTTTTATTTCTGTTAAGGACAAGGTACAATTTATGGGGGCACCCTGGCCATGACTTGGTCTGGTATTTCAGTTATAAAGTTATCTTCTAATAAGGTAATGCTGCCTTTAGCCTAGTGTTGCTGTAGAGCAAAATTTTTCTAGAGGTAGTTAAAACGTTGTATTAATTTAGAAAATCTTATAAAAAAATACAAGAACTACAAAACTAATGGAAATAATTTTTCCCTTTTCTTTTGCACTTAGATATCATTAAAAAAGGAAATTAAAATTTAATAGTGCATTAAAATAATGGTAGAATTGAGGCTGTGGTAAAAAGTAATGGAGCAATGAATTCAAGCTGACACAACATACGTAACTCAAGCCACTCAGGTACTACAATACACATAAGAAGTTTCAGACAAGTGGGCAATCCTGTTGCATTATATGGATGAAGCATCTAAGCACAACAGGATTAGTGAGCAACCAACTTAATTTGTAATTCCTTTTATTTCTCTACTTCTATTGATTTGTATCTTAATTATATTTCATTAGTTCTTAGGGTTTAGGTTTTTGGTTGCCACTAGTTGAGTGTTTGTCATCAACAGGGCTGCAGCTCCTCAACTCCACTGGCCCTTTGGATCCTTCAGTGAAGGGCAACACAGGTTGCAAGAGAATCTTTATGCAATAGATTAATTTTTTTTTTTTTTTCTGTTACATGTTTTGAAGAAGTAATATTTGGTAGGAACCAAGTTTTCACTTAAAGTACATTGATATGACATTTTTAAAATGTTATACAGTAAATCTAAAGTTGGAAGCATGGTGAATATGTTATTATTATTTGAAATAGTTAATGATGTGCTGTGTATCTGGTGAATGGACTTAAATACGAGGGGCAGTCATGAAGCCGAGAAGGAATACAAGACTTCTGTTTTGTGATTGGAGTGCTGGCACATTGGAAATTACATATTAATATTTTATGGAGTATAACCAATCGAAAATGGTCTCTAAAGGTCATCTGTCTTTGCTGCTGATGTGGTATGGAAATTTAGCAGATAAAACTAGATTATAAAAGATCTTCACAAACATGCAATTGTCGGGTTTTTTGGACATTATACTGGTATCATTGGGTATATCTATGTTGAGTTGTAGTCTGCAGTACAAAGATGCTCCAGGTGGGTCAGAAATACCTTAGCACTCCAGAAGAGCTAGCCACACTGGAATTTTGCAGCGTGCACACTTGTTCGCTTAACGCCTTATCAGAAGTTTCTGTGCTGCACCTCAGTTTTCAATTTGCACATAATCTGGTAACAGACAATTTAGGTTTTGATGTTCTGATGCTCTCCTGCTGCATGAATAAATAATATTGCTGTCATGTACGAAAACAAGGGGCTCTGGCAACTGAAATTTCAGAGACTTCAGATGTAGAAATAGTGGCTACTTTTTATCTTATTCTAATGCCTGTTTAATTTATTATAGTCAAGTTAGAAAATTACTTTTAATCTATTTGTGCTTTTCTTTGGAGCAAGGTGTTCTTACTTAGTGGCAGAAAAATATTGCATAAGCTACATTCAAACTTTCAATTGGATGAGGAGATCTAGGTCTTTTGCTGTTTCTCCAAGTATGATTTACTTAAGGACTTAAATGCTTCCTGAAGTTCCAACAAGTGGTATAGTCCAGCAGTTTTTCGTGATGTTTCATGCAATCCCCTTTTTTTTTAATTAAAAAATGAGCTGGAAATTCTTTTGCTATGTTAAGTATTTCGTAATGGTCTACTCTAACTCATCTTATACACAGTAGAGATTAATACCTATTTTTAGTTGCTATAAATTTATACCAGCAGAATAAGGATAGTTTTCGGGGGGTTTTTTGCCTTTTAGGATGCTGGGACTCTTCATCCGTGGTATTGAAGAAAATAGCAGATCTAGGCGTGATGGGCTTTTCCATGAAAATGAATGCATTGTGAAGATTAACCACGTGGACCTTACAGATAAAACCTTTGCACAGTAAGTGCTGGTTTACTGATTCTTTTAACTAGCCAGGATTTTATTCAAGGCTGTGTTTATAAAGTGATTCATACAAAGACATTAATATTTATTTCAGATAAAATGCCTGTAAAATTGATACCTGGCAGAAACTTTGTAATTTTCTTTCTGAAACCTCCAAATCAGGTGAAAATTGAGGATCAAATTCATAGTCTTAGTGAAATTATTGTCCTTACTTAATTTAAATAACATAAAGAATTTTGATAGCTATCTTTACTTTCTAATTCTTCTGGGTTTTTTTCATATTTTCTTTGTAGTTTTTCCTCATAAGACCTTCAGAATGAATCAGCATCACAGCATGTTTTTTAGGGTTCTTTCACAAATGAAGTAAGATTTTTGTGCTGCAGCATTTTAAACATTTAATTTTTTTGAAAAATACTAGTGCTGTCAAACTATGATTAGTTTAGCTAAATGGTCTCACCTCTTACGACTTTTATTAAAAAATTGTTGACATTTATTATCTATCTCAAATCACTTTAAGTAACAGGTTGCTTTGATCAGCTATGAATTAATGTGACATCGTTGCACAAAAGAATAGCCTCTCAAATTTCACAGATATTTTCTGTAGTAATTAAATAGTAATTTGGTTTTACTTTTAATCCATATGTTTAGACAGCTGACTGTTTATAATATAACAAAAATCTATTGAGATCTCAAGGGAGTTGAGGCTTAACTTTCTAAACAGTAAGCCAAATGTTCAAGGTTTCTAGGCTGAAATCAAATACATAATTTCATTGTTAGGGACAAATAAGTTTTCATCAAACCAGTGTAGTTCTGTAGGGTAGATAGTACCTTGTTTCTGAGGCTGTTTTTTTTGCCTCCTGATAGATGTCATGTTACTGCTTTCTGTGTATTTGGTGGTAAATGTGTTCTGTTGTGATGTAGTTCATGTTGTTCTCTTACACCTATGAAAAATTCCTTCATAAGATATCAACTTCATCAGTACATAAGTGTTGGTATCATATTAAAATGTTAATTGCCTCACCTGTGAAATTTTGCAATTAATCTCAAATGAGATTTTGCCTGAATCGAAACCTCTCTTTTCAAAATTCTATGTGATATTTTCTTTACAAATTTCTTGTCTCTTTTGTGTTCTCTTCAGAATGTAACTAGAGCACCAGAGGCTTTAACCCATGAGATGTATGTGGAGTGGAGGACTCCGCATACTTTTCTATAAGGTTACGAGGTTTTGGGACAGTTAGAAATATTAAACTTTCCAGTTTTCTGTCAGGCTTTTCTTCAAAATCAGAAATGCAGAACATATCACTTCAAGTTTGAGTAAAGGTTTGGGATTTGGAAGGGATATTTACAAAGACAATTGTTAGTTTGGAGAGGACAGTTTTGTTAGATGATATCTCTGTCATTGGCAGAGTGAGAGAAGTGACTAAAAGGGTGTTTAAGTGCAGAGCCTAATTTAGTTGGTCTAAGTCACCTTAAGTTAAAATAGCAAGTAGTGTGGTTGCAGTGGCATTGGATCTGAGGAGGAAAACTGTGGGCAGTGAGGCCTCAACATCCATCTGAGGACTGGGGAGAGTATTTTGGACAAGCTCTAGCTGGTCCCTTATCCTGTTACGTTGTTCTGGTGAATTGCTTTCCAGAATACCCTTCTGTATCATCTCTCTTCCCTGGCTGTTGAGAATGGCTAAAGAAAACCTCTTTCCAGGTTGAAACTAATCTCCGTGGATATGCCTTTTAGTTTTCATCGGGTATGACATAACTGTACCAACCTGACGGAAGTCCAAGTTACAGAATGCAGTAATTGTAATGGATGTGATGAAGTATTGTCCCAATGACTATTGACCCACAAACAGTCATCAGATTCTCTTCTGAGAGGAAAATCTGTTTGCTAGTTTCAAATTGACATTTCTTCATAACCCTTGTAAAAACTGTTTTAACACTTAGCAGAGACTGTTACATACTGTCTCTTTCTGTTTTCAGCAGAGACTTTCTAGTATTGCTCCTGATGATTGCTGCTTGTGCAGCTGTAATAGCAGCCTACTTTCTGTATTCCCATGTTTATAATAGTTTTATATATTGGGACTGTTGGTCTGCTTTTTCATTTGCTGTTAATCTATTCAATTACGCTCTGTTGTGTCGCAGTTTCTAGCACCTCTTTTAATTGACTCCCTTATTTCTTTAAAGTATGCATTTGGGGTCTCAAGAAATGTAAATTTCTCCATCCATTATTTTTTCTCTTTGAAGTACAGCCAGTTATTTTGCCCCTGAAGACAGCATTTAGGCTTTCCCATGGGATGTCTTGCATTATTTTCACTGGTTTTTTGTTTGAAAGAGATCTTATATTTTCTCTTTCATATATTTAAAATATTCATCTCCCCAAACTGAGTTAGTAAATTACCTTGTAACGTATGATGAAGTGACTACTTGCAAGGATGAAGACAGAGTGTAAAAAAAAACCTGGTTAAGACATTGCATCCTTATGCTGGGAGCATGCCATAGTTTCTATGATCAGGGTAAGGTCTGCCCTGGAAAACCTTCACAGGCTACATATAGGTGAGCAAGTAATCTCAACCCCTGCAGACACAGTGGAACAGTCCTGTTACAGTTCTGAAACCTAACCCTTGAGGGTGATGCTGGAAGAATCTCTTCCTACAACACTCTTATTGCTACCTTTCTTTCCCAAGTTTGTGGTGTCTTTTCTGGCAGTGTCTCCTGTCAGTGAACATGGTTATTCTGACTCTCAGTGCACATACACTCAGTGTAGCCAAGATGGTTCTTTCCCACAGAACTATCCATTGGGATTGCCCCCTGACTTCAGTGTCTTCACGCTGCAAAAAAACCCTCAGAACATCCCCTCCCTTCTACTACCTACAGCTGCAAGGTAGTGGTACTGTGCGGCTCTGTTGATCTGGGAAAGCAGTACGCGTGTGTTCAGGATGTTAACCTTTGTGGGGGCTTCCTTTCTGTATTAGTGCAAAAAACTTGTCTGTTTTCAGAAGTGCTTTCAACACTGACTCCTGTTGCGTAACTGAGTGTAAATCCAAACCCAAGACTTCAGTGAAATACTGACTTTGCCTGAAAAACATGCTGCAGAAAAGTAGCAGATATACAAATTGTTCTCAAAAGGACCCCATGATTTACTTAACAATTAATGTGGCCATTACTTCCACTCTTGACCTGATTCTGCTAAGCATAAGTTCTTCTTATTAAAATGTGCTTCAGCTACTGCTTCTGTTTGTACTTAAGTCGACTCCTTTGTTCCTTTAGAATCCAAGGTTTGTAAAATGTCTTGATGGACCAATCTACGGGTTATTCAAATCCGGGGAAGGCTTTATGAACAGTTGCTTTGGCCAACTTATCTTGATTGCCTTCCAGTGCATGGGAACCTGAATGCTGTGCTGTTACCATGTTATCAGTTCAAGGGGAGTAGTTTCCTTAAATACTCTAACACAGTTTCTGGTGTTGCAGTTGAGCACATCTATAAAGACATTGATTAAGTAAAGTCCATATATCCACCTCAGCAAGAAGCTACTGCTTGGAAAATGTGAGCAATTCTTACCTATTTATCCATTTATGTAGAAACACACAAATAATTGCACGTTTTTGGTCACCATTTGTTGGGTTTTTTTTCTGACATCTGTATATATCCCGTACCATCATCCTTTTCTGTTGCACCATTTGCAGTCATAATATTTCTTCTGAAGATGTCCATATATCCCATGCCATCGTCCTTTTACACTGCTGTGGAATCAGCCAGCAGTTGCATTAGGGATGATGAAGGTATCTGAGGGGCGGTTAATCTGTACTCGGAAAAAATGGAGTCCTGAGCTTGCTTGGAGTAGATGTGTCCACCAGAGGAATTGGTCATAAGTGCTCAGCGTGCCTCTGTGCCAACAAGAAGATATGTAACGAATACTTGAAAAAAGTAGCAAGCTGTAACTTCAGGAGTCTTTTGATGAGCTTTTGCCATCAGAACTTTCCTTCCTGATGCTCTGCATGAAGAATTGCATTCATTAGTTTATTCTGGCAGATACATTTTCATAGCAGCCTAGGAATCCTGACAGGTATGCTGTTCCTACCTGAAATGTAAGGAAATGCTGTAGTTTAGAAATCTTATTTCATGCATACTTTTTAGAAAAGGGACCCTGTAGATCTGAAGGTAAGGTTATTTCTTCATGTTTAAGAAAAATTTTTGCCTTATTCACTGTAAACAACTTCAAACTTTGCCCATTTTTTCTGGTTTATTATGTGAATTTTTGTCCCTTTCTTTTGAAGGGCTCAGGACATCTTCCGTCAGGCAATGAAACTTCAAAGTGTCATCTTGGAAGTGCTTCCTCCATATAATCGAGAACAATATGAGAAGTCTGCTATTGCTCCTCTTTGTTTTCTGGATAATGAAGAAGGAGTTCTAAAAACAAAGATTCCACCTCCTGTTCATCCAAAACCTGCTCTGAAAACAATTAACCTTTCTGGAGCAAGCAGCTTGGAGGCAGGTGTACAGGCAACACTACAGCAAGCTAAGAGCCCCAACCTCCCACATCTGGGTAGAAAGTCATCTTCTCCCTCACTGTCTCCCCTTATGGGCTTTGGCAATAAAAAAAATGCAAAGAAAATAAAGATAGATCTGAAAAAAGGTAAGTCTGTGGGGAGGATATGGTTAATTCTGTATCATATTGTCTGTAGTGATACCTTAACTTTTAACTAAACCAGTGACATTAAAAGTACAAGCAAATTATTTATGGTTTAAAAGTTCCAAAACTTCCAAAAGCTAAAGGAATGTTAACACTGACATTCTCAGCAGTCCACTTCCTTGTAATTTTTGGATGCGTGTTATCCACACTTCCCGTCCTTTAAAAACATCTCAGCCACTGATTATGTGGAAGGTGTTACATTAGCAACATGCGACAGTAAGAGAAGCTTCAGCCTTTTTGCAAGTAAAGAATAAAATTTGAACTGTCTCCTGGTGACTTTTGTTATTTTTATTCCTATCTGCTAATTGACCCCAGCACTGTTATGACATTGTTTTAAAGATATGTTTAAAAAATATGCTCCGCTCTGTTTCATGTTATCCGAGAAGCTGACCACAGATTTACCTGTCTTTCCCTGTTTTATTTTCTGCAAACCTTTGCTTTCCATCTGTATTTATTCAGCTGTCAGCAGGCCAAATTTTGTGTGTATATCTTAAATTGCTGCTCTATGCAGATGTCTGTCTTTGCATGGAGTAACAGGTTTATACACATGTAGTAAAATGTGCTTAAGCAGATCCCAATTAGCATTCATCTTTTCTGTTTTTTTCCTGTCTCTGATTTGGCTGAGAGTTAAATTTGATGCTAGAACTGGCCCTTTTTAAAAACTTTATTCTTTTAACATATAATGAATGTAATCAAGCTGTCATTTCTTAAATTTTGTTATTTCTTAACTTAAATCACTCATTTTTACTTCTGAACTCTTCAGCTTTGCATTAACAAAACCTACTTCATCATTTTCCCTATTTTAGATGCAATGCTTTTGATTCTGAAACAGTAATTTGTATTTTTAGAAATGGTAGGAATGTGATACTGACATGATATCTCTGGAAACTATCACATGGGTAGTAATCTTGCTCAGTACAAGATTTTTATGCACCCTGCTATTCCTGGGTGGCTTCGGTGGCTTATAAGCAATACCTGCTAATACTGATTTTACTCCCCAATTATTTGTTAAAACATTTATCTGTTAACACTTTTCCAAGCAGCAAACAATCTCACTAGTGAAAGCTTTGAAATACACTTTGTCCCTTCTTAACAACAGCATGTTGTCAGCGGTGCTTGCATTCAAATCATGTGACGTTTTCCACCTTTCACCAAGTTTAAGTAAAACCTGCTAAACTGTATGTATGCTCATAAATAAACTGCTCTGATTTGTTTCAAAGACTTTTGACATTAATGTGGAGGCTGACACTAAAACCACCTAGAGAAAAGGTAAATGCTTTAAAATGAGAGTTCTTGCTTGTTTTGTATTATTGTGGGCTATCCAAAAGTATTACTGTCTGTAGCTGTTGCAGGAAGAATGGGTAGAATTCTTCTCTAGACCATACAGAAAATAGGCTCATGTTTACAGCTTTTTGTTTGCTTTCTTTTTTTAAAAGCTAACCTGATTGAGTGTCTGTGATCCATCGCTGACATCGTTTACTTACTTTTAATAACCATCATTTGCTTGTTGAAATTTATGTTGGGATTTTTTTTTTTTCTGACCACCTAGGTCCAGAAGGACTTGGTTTCACTGTGGTTACCAGAGACTCTTCAGTACATGGTCCTGGTCCGATTTTTGTGAAGAATATTTTACCAAAAGGTGCAGCAGTAAAAGATGGTCGTTTGCAGTCAGGAGACCGAATCCTGGAGGTTAGGATAAACATCTATTGTATTTGCATTGCTGAGTATTGATCAGTCGTTTTGGCATAAATGTTTTATTTCCTTATACATACTACTGATACATGGAATCACAATTCTTGACCTTGTTTTTTTAAAAATGTGTCTTATGGCTTTTGTATTGTTTGTCAACAAGTATTTTACTTGTGCTTTTCCCAAGTGTCCATGGGATATTTGAACAAGGGAGACCTGATAACATCCTGGTTTGTAAAGCAGATACTTTTATCAGTTTAGAAACAAAACACACCTTGCCTCTTCAGCCATGTCCAAAAATCTCTCAGTAATAGCGAGGTGGATAAATTCTCATTTTAAGTCAATTTTGCTCAAATCGGTAGGTTTAAAATTTTCAGCTATCTTGTGACAGACACAATCTCATTGTCTAATGGGTTATTTCTGCTTACTAACCTCAAAAAGCTCTTAAGGTAAACAGTTTTAAATACTTAGGTCTTGTTTCTGTACTTTTCATCTTCAAAGTGCTTTACAAACTAATTAAGCCTCGCAAACCCCCTGCAAGGTGGGTAAGTACTACAGAGCTGCTTTAACAGATGGTGAAAATGAGGGGAAAAAAAGGTTAAGTGGTTTGTGCAGGGCCAGAGGGAGAGACAGTGTGGAAGCTACTGCTAATTCTTCTTTGCTCTCAGTTACTGAGTGACACCTGTGTTAGGTGAGGGGAGAGTGACAAAAGACACACAGATATGACATCCTCTGTTCTTTTGTGTCTGGTAGGTGAATGGATGGGACATCACTGGCAGGACCCAGGAAGAGCTTGTAGCTATGCTGAGGAGCACAAAGCAAGGGGAAACAGTCTGTCTGATTGTAGCTCGTCAGGAGGAGGCTTTTCTACCCCGAGAGCTGGTAAACTCTTTTTTTCCTCAAGAGTGATATTGAAAGAACTCCGTGTTTTAAAACTAGTCCAAGAAATAGAAGTGAACTGTTGTTGACCGAGTAAGCCAGGGTAACTGTATAAGGCTTGGTTTTGACAAATGTTTGTACTTACATCTGATTTTGAGGGATACTTGATTTCACCTACTTTAGATGCAATTCCACGCAGTCTGATTTTTCATCCCAAAAATTACATCACAAGCATAACTCGCAGGGGAATATTGTAACTTAATTTTGTAATTGTGAAGTCAAGCATGACTGAAAATGGATTATTCTCTTTCAGAAAAGCAACAAACTTTAAACCAGAAATGTAAAGTGCACATAATGAGTCCTGCAGATTATCAGTAACAAACTAGTGAGAGTTTGCACCCCCAGGAGGTGCATCTCCTAAACCAGGTGCCAAACTGCAGGAGTGGTGAGAAATAGAATTCCATTGCACTGCACACAAACTTTCGAAGCAAGCTTTTCCCTGGCTGCTAGTCTTTGACGTAACAGGCTCTTGCGTGTCTGATTTTGTTCTATCTCAAGTGCTCAATTTTTCCTTCTATTTTTTTTTTAAACACTGTCATGAAACTGTGTTCTCTTTTCTCCCACACAGACAGAGGAGGACTACATCAGTGTAACAGTGCTATCTGATACCTACTTGCTTCCCCTCAAAGAAGGTCATCTCTTTGGTCACCTCTTTCTTATCTTGACTGATGGCTATACTTGACCTTTCATTAAATTCTCAGGATAAGGGAAGGACAGCATTTCCTGCTTTTGTCTCATTTTTATCTCCTTCAGAGAACACAAACCACCTTCGTTCTTTTCTTAAGATGCTTTTCCTTTTGCTTTAGACTGTTAGTAGGATCTTCTGCAGAAATCCCCCATTATGTTTCCTCACAAAACATTGCTGACAGTTTCCCTCTTGTTTCCTTGTTACCAGTTGGATCTTGTTGAGGTAAGGGTTTCTGCTGTCTTATGGTAGGATGAGAAGCTGGAGGGGAGTTCAGATTCTCTCATGTGAGCCTTTCCTCGTGTGCTGCTGGTGCCCACTTTTTCCTGTAGTAAAGCAATTGTCAAGTGTCCTAACGAAACTATTTTTGTTTTCGTTTTCCTTTTTTATTGTGTAATCTTTGAGTATAATGGTAGAATATTTTCAGCCCTGTAATTGGGCGTTCATTGTCAGTGATTCCCAAAGCACCAGTCATTATAATGCTCTTGTTTATTAAGCCCTGAGCTGTAGAGTCAGTTGGAGGGGTATGTCTGAGTCTGAAAGTAGTCAATTATCTATTATATTTAGGATTTCTTTTCTTCCACCAACTCTTCTAAATAAGAGCTTATTTTTTGAAAAGGCTACCCATCAACAGTTTTTTCTTGTGGGTTTTTTAAATTATAAAACATATTACTTGGAAAATGTACTTTAAAAAAAAAAAAGTATCTATTGTTCTTTTCTCTCTACCGTTCCTCCAACACTGTACATGATTCTTTATTGTCATAGTACAGATTCTCTGGAAACCACTGTAGCTGCATGTGGGTATAAAAGACTGGAATAATCTAAAAGCTATTTATAATTTTTACCTGCCACAGTTGCCTGCTATTAAATGCTAGCCCCTACAGCAAGGATTAACTACCTTTCAAAAACTGACTTACTTATGACTGGCATGATTGAAATCCAGAAAGTAGCCACATTTATCCTGCTGGCTTGACCTTTGCCTAGATTGCTTTCTCTGAAAAAGAATGGTGCACAAGTGATGTCCCTCACTGTAAGGGTGATGATATGTGAATTCTAATACCGTTCTGTGTTTCTTGTTATCCCAATCAAGCACAATATTGTACAAATGCGAGTTACTGAAATACTTTAGATAATTTTATGGAACCAGGCCTTCTAAATTAAAAAGCCTTTCAGCAACATCTGCTCATGGCAGAAGTGTGGGTTACCATACCACTAAGCTACCAGATGTTGATACTAGCATGATGCCTGTTAGAATTCATCTCTGAGAATAGTCTCATCAAAGATGAAAACAAAACAAAACAAATTGGTTCGTTTTTTTGTTTCTTTTTAGCTTTAGCCATGATACTACACTGACCTAATCCTCTGCTACCTCAAAAGTTACAGTGCTATTTTGATCAAAGAGGAGAAAAAAGACAGCACTTTAAATGTTTGTTTTAGGAAGGAAAGGCAATGGATAATCCCATATTTTTCAAGGACAGCTGTAACTGAATGCTCTATGTAACATGCATGCAGTTTACCGAAATGCTTGGGGGTTTTGTTAATGCCTGGCAATAATAGGGTAATTGCTTTAAATCAGTCTTGTTCTTGATTTGAGGAGTTCTCCAGGGACTGCAATCTGAGAAGCTGTTTTCTTTAGACTCCCTGTCATGTGTGGAAAGGAAAAGATGCCTCTGGAAGTTGGACCCACTAGACACCATGCAACAAACCACTTCTGAGCATGTTGCTTCACCAGGACTGGGCTCTTACACTGATTTCTGGAGAGAATTTGGTAGCTGCATGGGCACAAAGCAAATCATATACCAAAGTAACAGCATTTGGCATTAGGTTGCCTGGCTCTGTAATATATAATTTGACTTTACCTTGCCACAAAGCGGCAGTTTGGAAAAAGCTTGGTCTCATGAATATTTTCTTTTCAGCAAGCTAGATGGAGCAGAGTTTGAGGGTTTTGTTGCTGTGATCTGTGCTGATGACTTGCTAGCAAGTAGAAAAATATATTCAGAGTAGCAAACCTCTACCATGCCAACCAAGAGAGAGATGTGATATGGGTGAGGATGAATCAGTGTTGCAAACAGGCATTATTAAATTATAGGGAACTGGGGCTTCAGTTACACTAGCCCATGCAACATCTGAGAGTTGTACAGTTGTATTGTTTGCACGTAATGAGGGAATAAAGGAGAAAACCCAATCTTTGTAGCATTGTTATTGCTTAGAAAAAAAAGAAAAGGAGGATCTAACGAGATTTTTTTTTTTTTTTTTTTTTTTGCAGATCAGTGAAGTAGAATTTGGACCAACCACAGGCTGTCCTTCTTATTATCCTGTTAGCCAAATGTTCCCAGTAATTCATGCCAGCTGTTGACAATGTAGCAGCTGAGTAAGGAGCTGATTCCAAAACTCAGGGGAAGATCTTGATTCACTTAATTACCACAGTCTACAGAGTGGCCGGTGATTAGTGCATTCTTTAAGGTGCATTTGGGTTTTAAACTGTGTAACACTGATTTTTTTCCAAAGGATGGTGAATATTACAGAGAGAAACTGACTTAACAAGTTTGGATTTTCTAGCCCTTATCGGAGTAAATGGAATACATCAAACTGTGGCTATCATTCTATTGTGTCTTCAAAATACAATGTTTTGATCATGTGTATTTGTTGCATCTTGTTTTTTCTCCAAGGAAAATGTGTGATCTGAAGGTGCCATATCTTTTAATAATGATATAAAGATCACTTACTCCCCCTTTTCTTTCTTTATCCCTGCAATGGTAAAACAAGCAAAGCTACTTGAATGAGAACAGCTCTGGTGTAACCCATGCTGTGCCATGACCCTATGCAATTCTTTATCCTTATTATTTTTCATGAGCCTTAGGATAGTGGATATTCCACACATTAGCAGAGGAATACAGCTGTTCTGCAATTGCCAGAAAGAATATTGTACAAAAAATATTTTGATGTATTTTTCTTGAAGTTAGAGGACATATATAGTGTAAGCTTTTACTGATGCTTTATGTTTTTGTTTTAAAGATAGCTTTGACTTACCAGTTTCAACTACAATCACTGTTTCTGTGGTTTCTCGACATATTTACTGAACCCTGAAGAATGGAGGAGGCAAGGGAACAAACCAGCATTTTTATAACAAAAGCTACAAGAACAACAATATAATCTTGCCGTTGATCTTTGAGTCTTTTTTTACACATGTACTATACAGGATAGAAGGAAGCAGGATGAGTGGGAAGCACAATTAAGCAGTTTTTCTGCTTACCATGTGATTAACTTCTAGGTTTCAGTCTTTCCCTAGTTAATTCCTTCCACTACCTTGAACTTCTGTGCCTGAAGGAGAACTTGTTTGCCTGAAGTGTTGTCCTTTTTGGTTTTAATATTCAGAGCTTAATTTCTATTATTTCCTTTTAATTGTTTCTTGCCTTTTTATGTGCAGGAAATAATAGGTGCAATTTCAACCTAGACAATAATTTTTGCACCTTTTTTTTGTAGGTCAACTCAATGATTCTAGTGCTCAGTTAACCACAGATTGTCAAATAATTTCAGTCAGAAAGTGATTCCAGCAAGTACCAATTCTCTGTTATGTTATCTCTATTCAAAGGAAGAATCTGATAGGGAGAAAAAAAAGTCAGTATACATATATTGGATTTTAATAACATACACAAGATTCAGTTCTTGAATTGTTCTACATAATGAATAGAATGATATTGTGATTACATAGGGCACCTTTCATCTTGACTAACTTTATAAACTATGTAGATTTTTAAAAGTCCTGTTTTCTTCCGGAGAGCTTTTCAAGGAAAGTGTTTGTTTTGGGGCCTGTAGATTCTTTTTATCTAGAATAGTTGAGAAATTAGTGTAGGTTGTGTCCACACAAATGTATCTTTTTTAGAGTGGAAACATTGTGTAGTGCAGCCCCTCGAAGATTTTCAGCTTTCATTATGTAATTCAGAAGATGGTAACTAGTTCATTATAGCTTAGAGTACTGGAAACTATGCACTGAGGTTTGTTGATTAGTTACAGGGCTTGTTATAAAAGTCAGTAAGAAGTCACTGTTTAGAAGGAACGTGACATTCTACAGTGAACAGGGGGTGTGGCAAAAAGTATTCCTTTATTTATCCTGGGTTTTGGTGGGACTCCCTAACTTGCCAAAGGGGAATAAAATGCTTAAACATTTCATGTATCTTTAAAAAATGGTTGTTTTTTAAATTATTTAAACCAGAACCAACAAATTTGCAATGGCAGAATGAGCTCTCATATGCTGTGA